ATATAATAGTAGATTTATAATTTCACAAATATTATTGGGTCTCATGCTCTGTTATTCACTACTTGCTCTAGTTACTAATTAAAACTAGGATCTTGTTACTCTTGCTTCTTATCAATTTACTATTAAGAGGTAATATTGCTCAATTTGCAAAGTGTACTACTAATGGAACTTGGAAAACTACATATTGTATTGTTCAAAGAAAGATCAAACTACTGAGATGTACTTTTTACACTACTTGAATAAAAGATGGATTCAGAACCTCAATATTTCTATTTTATTGCTAATATAGGTCAAAAGGTAACAGCCAGCAGGGTGTCAACCTTGTTTATCAAAAAAGGCATAGATTACAGAAGAAGAAAATTATACAAGGACAGATATTAGAGAAGAAGAGATTAGAAAAGGGTAGAAAATCTTCACCGTCGCCTAGCCCTTGCTATCGTCGTTGTTGCGAACCCTCCTTGGAAACTTGTTGGTTGTTGCAGGCTTGCCGCCGCCGTTGGCTCGTTTCTAACCCTAATTTTACTCTAAGCGCCAAGCGGTAAGTACTAACTCCTACTGAAAATCTAATATAGAATCTACTTATGTATTAAATTATTTATATTTAATATTTAGGAAGGGTAAAGTAGTAAATAACTATCACCTTATTGGGTTATCGGTTTACCCAATAACCCAATAATTTTTTTTTATAAACCCATTAAAAACCCAATAACCCAATAACCCAATAACATTTTATCGGTTCGGTTTATTGGTCGGTTCGGTTTTTGCACACCCCTATTATTTTGCATTCAAAGATAATTTTGTCTATATGTCTAATTATCTTATACTCCGTTGAAATTAGTAGCTCGACTACCGACTAATGATACCAGATCTTGGGAATGTTTTGTATTTAAGAGCAAACTACATAAATCCCACTATTTTAGATCCTAATTACTAGGATTCCCATTAGTTTTTTATATTACTTTATATACCATTTTTTGGCTTTTGGATACATGTATCATGGCCCGTATACATGTATCCATCATATTTAAAAATCAAGATACACTATTTAATTACTTTTGAATTAAATGTTGTAACTTATTTCCTTAATTAAAGGAGTAAATGATGGAAATTAACAACCAAAATGAATATAGAGGATTCTTCCAAATCAACTATTACCAGTTTTACTAAAATATCAAAATCATAAACCTTAGTATTTCTGAAACTGTAAACTTCATCTTCTTCATCAATACCTTTCTGAGTATCCTCAAATTTCTGAAACTGTAAACTTCATCTTCTTCATCAATACCTTTCTGAGAATCCTAAAGTTTCGAGATTTTTTTTCCAAATGATCAATATCACAGTATTATTGAGGCATTCGGAGGATTCATGGCTCTCTGAAATCGAATAAAAAATAAAGAATTGATGGAATACAATTTAATAGCGCGCAACTTGCCGGCACTGATTTCTGATCTTGACAACGTTTCTGGGCCACCAAACAGGGAGTAATGCTTTGTTAAGCCAACCCAGGAGGTGCTCCTTGGCACCCCATCTACTCCCAACTCTATGTCAATTCCTCCTCGAAAGGAATAACACAGAGTCATTATTATTACTGCTAAAATAATATTGCACACCATCAAAAAATCAACCAAATCAAAACACACTGAATTTGTCCATGGCTTTAACATTGTCAGATTTCATAACACTATGAATTGAGTGTACACGTAAAAGTATTGAGATCAGATGTATGATGGAAGACAATTTGATTATAATAATGGAAATTTGAAGTGAGATATTTTATGGAATTTAAAAGATGTAAATTCGATTGCGGGTTATATCCATTATGCATAACAACTAAAGATCAAAATTTTGGATGTAGTAATAATGGTGAAATATCTTTTGAGCGAGATACATCAATTGCTCGATTGGAGTTGAAGGTAGAACCGAAACTACATGTAATGCTACTTCAGATACATATATAAAAATTCGTTCATTTCTTTTCCAGAAACACAAAAAGTGTATAAATATTCTTCTTCCTATTAATTCGATTTTCTTTCTTTGAATCTCGATTCCTAATCTTCATTTCGAATTGTAACCGTGATGGTGAAGTTATTTTTTTAGCCAAATCATCATCTTTTCGTTTTGAAATTGTAAGTGTTAGTGCTGCAAAAATAATTTGAGATATAAAGACAATGAAAGCTTAACATAAAATAATCAGATACATAAAGATATTATATCAACTATATTAATAAACATACTAAATATAACCAGAGAGGCATATGCACGCCAGATACATTAACATAAAAATGAGATACAACACATTAACGATTTAAGTACATTAATAGAAGTAGATACAAGACATTGGCACATTAACAATTTAAGTACATTAATAGAAGTAGATACAAGACATTGGAAGTTTAGATACATTAACAAAAAGATAGATACATAAAAATATTAAATGAGATATAGG